CGATTAACGATAGCCGAATAGCGGCCATTTTATGGCCAAAAATGCATCAAAATCGCACATTGGGGATATCGCATTGCATTAAGCGTTTACATGTGAACGAAATCATTTGTGAAACATAGTTGAATTTTACTTGCATTTCATAACAATTCAATGAATTTTTTGTGCGTTATTACAATCACTACTGAGTAATAATCAACAATTTTAACACTTCGAAAACAAGCAAGCAAGTTATTCACTTGTGAACCACATTGCATTATCGTATCATGATCATTTGCTACTAAGCAATGCATTTGTGTTTGTTTTTATTTGAAACTTTTGTTAGAATATACTTTTCGTTAAATAAATACATATTACATTGAATATACTGAGTATTTTTTTTTGTTATCATGTGAACATTTTTTTTGAATGACTGTAATTTTGCAAAATTTCATGACACCTATTTTAGTAAGGCCTTTCACTTTCCCTGACACCCAAATTAGAATGATGCGTATATTTAAGAGATTGTACGATGTATTGTTTGTTTTGTGCATGGAAAAAAATCACCACACCCATTTAGTAATTGCAATATGTACATAATATAAACCGCACCCCTGAACTTGAGCTGTTGACCCCAATTTCTAAATTGATACATTGTAATATAAACCCGGTTTATATTAGGACTTTTACGGTATTCGTTACTCTCAACCCGTTTCTCAGACTCCTACAGTACGTCGATGTCTTATTAGTGCATATGCGAGTTTATCCATCGATTTGACTTTCGTTTGATTGACCAATTGGTGGCCATTGTTCCTAAAAGATACTAGAAATCAAACATGTCCTTTACTATTTCTCAGAGCCAATTTTATTCAAACTTGGCATTAACATCTCTTTTTTTAGGTTATTTATGCGTGTCAGTTTGTTTTGTGATTTTCCCAGTGGTGTTTGAGTTATTTTCCGTTTGTGATCTGGCATCTGATATTTCAACTATTTCTGATAATATCCTCAAGTAACCTACTTGTTTATTTTAATGTATGCGGGTTATTAGATGCATTGCTTCTAGTACTCAGTCTAAATTGCATTTTTTTTTTTTAGGAATAGTGTCGAATCGAGTGTTGTGAAAAGAGCAATGAATGAATTTTTCAGAACCTTCAGAAAATCAGCGAATTGATCTTGTAAGTTTATTTAATATTCACTATTTTCATGCACTTGAAACATTATCTGTCTCTGAAAGTATACGAGTCTGAAAGTGGGAACTTATGGACTGACCTCTGTGAGTCCTTGAAATGCAGTTACCATGTTTAAAAATGCATCTGATTAGGAAATGTAAAACACTTCTAGCACATTACTTACTAGATGTTTTTTGGAGTATAAAATGCCATTATTTGTACGTGCCATATAACCAGAAATGTTTTAAGTTAATATATAGTTAGTCTCTTGTATTGTAAAGGATTCTATATTATAATGCTGTATTAGAGCCAGGTCATTAAATGTCTTTAAATTCATGTTTTGTTTACTATTTAATTGCTAGGGACGTAAGACGTGATTTTCCTCAGCCAATATTTGAAAACAATATCAAAATTTTGTTTTGGGGGCCGTTAAAATCTTATATTTAGACTCCAGAGGCCTACTTGAAATGCAGTTACCATATTTACAAATGCATCTGATGGAAATATAAAACTCTCTAACTGACTACATACTAGATGTGTTTTGTATTATAAAATGCAATTATGTTTACGTGCTATATACCGGTAACGAGAAATTTTTGTAAACATTCTCTATGTATACTTCAGAAGAGTGTCTGTGATATAGTAATGAACAAAACAAATTTCAATACTAATCCAGATCGTGTTGACTTTATAGCAGGGATTTTTTTAAACAAGGGAACATGGCCATGCACACCCTTAGCCTGGGGAGCAAATCCTCTGGCAACCATAAAATTCTGATTGACCAGGAATCACATGTTGCCACATTCTTCAACTGTGACCTGTCTGATAGTAATTTTGGCCTCAAGGAAGCCTTAGAATGCTTCATTTTAACTCCACGCCCTGGTAGAGAGATCCCTATCTTCTCCCACTTGGTGGCGCCCCGCTGAATTGCAGTGCTCCCTCTTGCAGTTTTTTTCTAGAAAAAACCCTGTTATAGAGTGTGTATATAAACCAACACAATGGAGTAGCTTTCAAAAGCAAATCAGCACGTGTGTTTAGTACACGAATGCTTTAATTTGCCTCTTTTCAATCAACTTTGTTCATTGGTGAGACTACCTCACATAGGTCATAGAAATCTTTGAAAAAATCAGCTTAAAAGATGAAATCATGAAATTTTTATTTAAACCGTTTTTATTTTCAAATAAAAGTATGGAAAAAACTGATCAGATTTTGAGCTCATTGATATAATACTGCAATTTTTGATTGACATTAGTGAATACAAACAGTATTGAACTCAATTGAAGTTGATAGTTATACTCTCCACATCAGTTTTAGGAAATTTTAGCTACCATGCATGGTGAGTTTATGCAAAAACAATTGTGCCTGATTGGCTACCCAAACCAAATACTTAACATTCAGACCAATCACAGAGCAGCATGTTTTTTGACATGTTTTTTTTTGATGTATTAGCTTTGACTCAACTTCACAAAGCTTGGAAAAACACTGTTAGCATTAACTGAAGTGAATCTATTGATTTAACTTACATGAGTTTACTTACATTTGATTTAATGGTTTGGGTTTGTTCAATATTTACTATGTGAAATAAACTACTGTATCGTCATAAAGTTTTTTCCCATCAGTATTGATTTATGGTGTGATGATTGGTATGTTTTTTAACTATGAAAATTGCCAATTTACCAGTAAATGGAGAATTTTATGCATAATTTCTTTTGCGTAATCGGCTATCAACACCTATTAGTAAATATAGCTTTTTACAATATTTACCAAGAAATCTGTATTCCATTCATCCCACAATCCATTTTTGACTCCTGTAATCTATTTTTGACTGCTGTGTGCAAAGCATACAATGGGAGTCTTTGCAGTTGGTGTGTCAGTATGTGTGTGTTAGTTTGTGGATGTCTGCCTGTTCCACTGATATGGTTTTTGATGAAACTTTCTGCATAGATGCTCTGGGCTAATGCATAGGTTTGATTAGGTTTTGGGTTAATATGTTTCCAATAATCTCAGCACATAGGAGTTCTTTCTAAGCTTTCTTTGATTTGTTTTTTTATAGATTGACCAAACACAGGAATATAAAGTACTGAGATCTGCAGTATCAAGAAACACATCCAGCATAGTCAAACTTAGAAAACGGATTTTTGATCTACAGAAGGAAGAAATAAAGTAATAATTAACAGTTTATTATTGTACATCTGTCACCGTAACACTGTTCGTTACAGCGTGCCGGGATTTTGCAGTATTTTACGAGGTTTTTTCATCCTACCATATAAGGAAATGCAAATTTCAAATATGGAATCGTTACGCGCGTAAGCGTCCTCTAATAATAAAAACAAACATGGCTGCCATCAGGGTTTAACCGGACTATGCTGATTCTGTTCTAAACTTTTTGGATTTCGGCATTCTCATGATGTATTCTTGGAAGGAAAAGATGTATAATAATAAGGCTATTACGAGAATACCTTCATTGCGCGTTGGTCGATACTCCAGTTGTACTGTATTCGTGCATACTTTGAGGTATTCTTGTAATAACCTCATAATATTATACATTTGTCATAGTGTTTCATAACTTTACTAATTTGACGAGTTGAGGGAAAATGCTGCTGTGAACCTTACATTAATGTGTTTACAAAAGTCAAAATTGTCATCAAGTATCTAGTAGTTTCAGATTAGTGAAAAACAAAACACTAATCTTGAATTCCAAATTCACTGGTTTTCATCAATGTTCAGTCTTCTTCAGGAGCAGTCTCTCACTTTGCTTTCTCCCAAATGATTTTTGATATAGATTACACTATGCAATAACCATGCTTTACCACACACTGACTTTAAAATTTATGTGTCAAAATTCAATTACCATGTGTCTATACAGTTCTGACAAATCTCAATTGAACATGATGTCTTTTGTAATCTGCAGTGTGATCACTTAACTGAAATCAAATATTTTACCACAACTTTCCTGGCTAGTAACTACTAAAAATGACAGTTTTCATAGGTCCAATTAACTAGAGTAGTCCAGTAATGACATCTAGTTAGACTAGCATCAGTTTGAGCACCTGGATCTTTAATAGTCACAGTGATTATTGCAAAATGGCATCCTTATGAACGCTGTCAATTGTCATACCCAGTTACTGGTTGATCACAATGCATAGTGTTGTTAAAGCTGTCTATGATTTTAGAAATATATTTCTTTCAACTTAAAGTTTGCTTTTTTTTTTCAGCCTTGATACTGAATTAATAAACAAGAAAAAGAAACTTGAGAAAATGGAAATGGATAAGAAAGATTGGCTTGAAATCAGTGAATTTCAGTTTGATTTGCAGGATATCCTACAGGAATTTGCAGGCATGGAGGCACATACAAAACAAGCAGTAAGTTAAGATGTTTTTTAAGCAGAAGTACTAACTCAACTTTAATGCCTTGAAAGTGTGAGAATTCTGTTGATAACAAGAAAATATTCAAAATATGTTCTTTAATGAAGTATTTTGACACAAATTTTGGTCTTTTTTATTTATTTTTGTGGGCCATGTGTTATTGAGTAGTGGTTTGAAATGACTATCTGATTGCAATTCTAGACTTTTTTCTAGACTAATTTTGTGAGTTTGTCACTGAAACAGCGCTTAAATGCACATGTCTTATAAAAGGTCTGTAATTTGATGAGCTGGGTGGGGATAAGAACATACATAGATAAAACATACAACTATCCTCGGGCGGTGCTACGTCACAAGACGTTCCATGTTGCTAAGACGCGCACCACTGTACATGCACTTCTATGGGCTCTATGTGCGCTGCTGTGGAACGCCGGTTGAGCCAGTGAAAATTCAATAAAACAACACAAACTTAACTTTGAAGTACCCCGGTAATCCTGAACAACCAAATTTATATATGTCACACACATAGGGCTAATCTTGTTACACTGTTTCAGGGGAGTTTCAACAACCATCCAAAAGTACC